GACAAGAATCACCACAGACTTCTCATTGGAGACTGTGTAAGCCGGAGATAGTGCAGTCATATCTTTAAAGTGCTGAAAGAAAGAGACTGTCGATCTAGAATTCTGTACACACAAACCCAAAGGAAAGGTGACAAGGCAAACATGTCCTCTCCTGCCGCTTCTCCTCAACACTGAACTGGAAATTAGCTCCAAGGAAGTTAGGCCAGCAAAAGAAAGAAAACATATTATATTGGAAAGAGGAATCAAGCTATCTCTGTTCACAGGTGACATGATCCTGAACATTGAAAATCATTAGAAATCCAATTCCATAAAGTATCAGAACTTAAAACCCAGCGTGACAGTGTCCCAGCACGTGAGCTCATCCACACCGGCAATGGAAACCCTAAAAATGCAATCAGGAAAACAGTGTCATCTGCAGTAATGGCAGAATTAATAAAATGCTTAGGAATAAACTGAGCAAAAGAAATGTAAGACTTGTACCGAAACATCATTGAACAATATTAAAGACACGTTTATAGGTCAGAAGACTTCCCATTAAGCTGGTAGAACTCCCCAAACAGCTGTACAGATTCAGCACCATCCCTGGCAGCCTTTGCAAAAACTGACAAGCTGATACTAAAATGTGTATGGCAATATAATAATAATTAATAGTAAGAGCCGGGTGTGGTGCTGCGCGCCTGCAGTCCCAGCCACTCAGGAGGCTGAGGCAGAAAAATCGCTTGAACCTGGGAGGCAGAGGTTGCCGTGAGCCGAGATTGAGCCACTGCACTCCAGCCTGCCTGACAGAGTGAGAGTCTGTGTGTGTGTGTGTGTGTGAGAGAGAGAGAGAGAGAGAGAGAGAGAGAGAGAGAGAGCGTGCGGGGGTGGGGGGGGAAGAGGGGAAGAAAGGGAGGGAGGGAGGGAGGGAGGAAGGGAGGAAGGGAGGAAGGAAGGAAGGAAGGAAATGAAGTTTTTTGTTTTGTGGTGTTTGAGATGGGGTCTCACTCTGCTGCCCAGGTGGAGTGCAGTGGTGCAATCGTTGCTCATTGCAACCTCAATCTCCTGGACTCAAGCGACCCTCCCACCTCTCTCTGCCTCCCCAGTAGCTGGGACTACAGGCACGCACCCCCACACCCAGCTAATTTTGAAATTGTGCGTAGAGATGGGGCCTCACTGTGCTGCTCAGTGTGGTCTCAAACTTCTGGGCTTAAGCAGTCTTCTACCTCAGCCTCCCAAAGTGCTGGGACTGTGGCTGTACGCCACTACATCTAGCCAAGAAAATGGGTTTTTAACTAAAAAACTTTCAACACAGAAAACTTCTGACGCAGATAGTTGCAGTGGCAGCTGTACCAAACCTTTAAGGAAGAAATAATACCAGTTCTGCTCAACTTCTCACAGAAAATTAAAGAGGAGTGAACACGTCCCAACTCAGTGTGCGAAGGCAGCATTATTCTGATATCAAAACCAAAGATATCTCAAGATTTAAAAACTACAGGGCCGGGCACGGTGGCTCAGACCTGTAATCCTAGCACTTGGGAGGCTGAGACGGGTGGATCACTTGAGGTCAGGAGTTCAAGATCAACCTTTACCAACATGGTGAAACCGTGTCTCTACTAAAATACAAAAATTAGCCAGGTGTGGTGACATGTGCCTGTAATCCCAGCTACTCAGGAGGCTGAGGCAGGAGAATCACGAACCTGGGAGGCGGAAGTTGCAGTGAGCCGAGCTTGTGCCACTGCACTCCAGCCTGGGTGACAGCGTGAGACTCCGTCTCAAAATCAGAGTGTAAGCGTTCGGTGTGTCGGCCGTCTTTTACGCAGCTCAGAGTGTAAGCGTTCGGTGTGTCGGCCGTCTTTTCCCGTGGGTTCCTCTCCTTTGCCTTCCCCCAAGTCTTCCTCAATCTTCATAGTCGTGTTCCTGTTTTGAATTTGATCTGCTGTACCTTTTTAAATTCAGAGGGATTGAAAATAAGACTCAGCCCTAGGGCCGCCAGACTCCCCAGATAAGGATTTACCCCAAAACTGCCTTAAACTGCTACTTTCCCAAAAGTCTTCTTGGGACCCTCTCATCTTTCTTTGTTCCTGAGCCCCAAGTTTTTCTTTGCAACATGAAGGGCGTTGTTTTTCTTTGGCTTTCAGTGATGCGTCTGTGGGAGGCTTCAGAATCGTAATTGGTTTCTGTCTGAGTGGAAGCCAGGAGGTGTGAGGTGCCAGGGGTGTCAAGGTCCTCATCAGAACAGAATCAGCAGCACCCGACACCACACCGCAGCCTCCGGGAGCTCTGTTTACGGGGAGGCTCAGCCCGCGCTGAGCTTTTATTCAGCCTGAAGAGAACGCAGTGGAGAGGACGTGACAGCCGATGAAGAGCCGCCGCCCCGCAAAGCCATCTGTACGCGGTCTCAGTTGCCGCCTCCGTCCTGAGTGGCGGTCACATCCTGGCTTCCCGGCGTGGGCGCCTGCGTCTTCCATGGCATCTCTGCCTTCTCCCAGCCTCTCCATCCACTGGCTCGCTCCTGCCTCACGCTGCAGCTACACTCCTGCCCGTGCTTGTCCTGTGACCCACGTGGTCATAGCTGGCTGTCCCGAGACACACTGGGGGTGGTTCAAGAAGCATGTTCCCATTCAGAAAGTCTCTTCTCCGCTCAGCAAGGGCTGTAAGGGAAGGCTGTGGGCTCTGCCCTTGGGCTCAGATTAGGGAAGTGGCAGCCCCCTACCCCTGGAGGCCACGTTCCTGGGCTGGGAGAGGGCCCTTGCAGTGCCATAGCAACAGGACAGGTGCCAGTCCACCTGAGACCCCGCGGCTCCTGTCTCCAGGCGTCCTCGTGCCCCCCTGTTCAGGCATGGGCTCCCTCTCCACCTTGCGGCCGTCGGCTTTGCCATCTACGGAGCTGACGCCCTGAAGCTGCCCCAGGTCTGCCCCTCCACATCGGGATTCCTTGCCCGAGCTCAGGTCAAGGACCTGGAATTCCCACTGGGTTCCTCTGCCTTCGTGCTCTAAAGTGTCTTTTGGACTCTTCCTCTAATTTATTCCCAGAGAAACCTGAGTCTCATTAAAGTGCAGTCTCTCTGTTCCTGCACGGCTTTGAGTCTTTGGGTTTTTTCTTATGACTGCTCCATGTTATTGGCCATTTGTCATTTCTTTTCTAATAAGCTCAGGGTTGCCGTAAAGTGAAACCAGTTGTTAAGAACCCGCAGTGTATCCCATTTGCCATTGTGGGGTTGTTTATAAACCAAAAAAGTTGCGGAGGGAGCCGCTTGACACCTTCGGTCGTTCTTGCTTCTGGGTTTGGATGTCATTTTCGGTGTGTTGTTGTCGGGTGCGGTTTTGTGACTTTTAAGAAGAAAAGGAAGGAAGCAGAGTGGCAAAATGCCAGGAACGGAGCCACGGCCGGCCGCGGGCACAGGGTCAGAAGCCGGCTCCGGGCTCTGCCTGTCTGTTCTGTGATCAGAGCTGACACAAAGCACTGGAGCCCGAACCACGAAGAGCGCTCTGTAAACATTTGCACGTCATAACCACCTACAGTGACCTCCTAGAACCCCGCGTGTGGAAACCGTCTTCCTCCCCAGCCGCATTTACCTGTGGAGACAAACACAGCCGTGCGTGCCGGTCCTTCAGTCCACTTCTGTCGGAGAAAGCAGCTTTTTCCTTTGTCGAGGAAAAAAAGTTGCTGTTATCCAAAAGGAAATGGGGTTCTTATCTTGTTTATTTCATTTCGTTTACATTTTGGGTCTTCACAAGTCGTAGTTTCTTAGCAAGGAACAGACTCAGCCAGACTGACTGGCCGGCATACCTGCTTAAGGAAATGCACGTGTGTGACCCGCACACGTGGCCGTCCTCCTGCAGAAAGTCAGTTAAACCCTGGCTAGTATTTGCCAAGTGTAGACCTCTCTAGACGCTGAATGTGCACACCCAACCCACATGTGTGTGCACACACACAGACACATGCACGCACACGCGCACACACACGCACGCACAGATCCTGAAGCAAGGACCTTTGCTCAGGGAAGAGAGGGCAGCAGCATGTCCAGCGTCTGCGTGTTTCAGGCGAAAATAAACCTGGTCTTTCTGAAGCCGTCTCGTTAGCAAAGGGCACTGAAGTTCTCACGAGTTAGTTTGACCTCAGCCAGGCTTGCCGCTCGGCACCCTCCTAGCTCTTCCACCGTGGGGAGCCTAGCGGCACCCCACTGCTCCCCAAGAAGGTCCCACATCCTGTCGGGGCCTGGCCTGGCCTCGCAGGAGGCCGTCTTCCGTCTGCCTCGTAAGCTCCCTCGTCGTCCAGCCAGCTGCCTGCTTCCCTTTGGCGTCAGCGGGAGAATACAGGCAGTGTCTCCTGAGTGCGCCTGCCTCCTGGTTGCATCCTCAGTGTTCCAAGCAGCACTTCGGTGCCCCTGCCCTGCTGCTCAGCACTGACCTCGGTGCCCCCCGCTCCCTGGGGAGGCGTCTCCCAAGGCCCTGCTCCCTGTCATACACCTGTCAGCCTCACCTACAGGCTGCTCGCGAAAGGGTCTCAGAGCCCCCACGCTAGTGAACACAGGAATGGAGAGCGCCTGTCCCAGCTCCGGGGAGGGGCCAGCATGTGTTTCGTAGCAGACTCAGGACCCACCAACAGCTTGTGCGTCAGGCGCGCTGCCCGGCACAGAAGCCCACAGGCTCCATTCAGCCTTGGAGAAAGAGGCACCTTTACCCAAAACTCACTGCAGCCAGCCCTCCGTGTCCACGGGTGCCGCATCCGCGGATTCAGCCAATTTTGGATGAAAAATAAATTTAAAATAACAGTACCACAAAAAGCAATCTAAATTTTAAAAATACAGGATAGCAGCTATTTCACAGCCTCTACCCTGTGTCAGGTGTGGTGAGCAGGCTAGCGAGGGTCTGAGGTGTGGCAAGGACCCTGCTGTCCCCACAGGGCCACACCCTTTCATTCAGGGCTGAGCCTCCCGGGCTTTGGCATCTGAGAGGTCCTGGAACCCACCCCCGCACCGATACCGAGGGGCATAACTGGGTGTTTTCTGTTGTTGAAGATCCCAGAGGAGCACGACCTGGAGAGTCAGATCCGCAAGGAGCGAGAGTGGCGGTTCCTGCGGAACAGCCGCGTCCGGAGGCAGGCCCAGCAAGTCATCCAGAAGGGTAAGGCACTGCACAGCCAGCCAGGGGCTTGTTCCAGGGCTGGGAGCTGGGGGAGGGCCCCGTGAGCAGGCCCCGCACGGCCCACACACAACCTTCTCCCACCACCACTGTCCCCCTGCCTCCCCCGCAGATAAGCACGTTTAAGGCTGGTGGAGATGACAGGCTCCTCCTCAAGGTCCGGCAGCCCAGAGTGGGGAGGAGCAGGGCCGGGTGGGTGCGCAGCCGCCACGGGGAGGAGGGCTCTCCCAGCACTCTGCCTCTCCCAGCCCTCGGGGCGATGAGCACAGGTGGACTCATGGAACGTAGGTCGTTGACATTTCCAGAAGGGAAGGCCTCAGAGTCCACGTCTCCCCACGCGGACAGGTGTCTTTGTGCAGGCTCCACGGTTGGCGTGTCCTTCCCTGGGAACAGAAAGTGGAAATGGCAGGCCCTGGTTTCCTCAGGTGGTCTCCACCTTGTCCCTGGAACAGTGGCTAGCTCTGTCACGATTTTCCCAAACCTCCCCGAGTTGCCACCAGATGCCAAATCGCCCCCTTCGTCTGCCTCGTTGTTTGCCCTCCTGGCTGCGCCCGGGGTGGAGGGCCAGGGAGGAGCCCAGGAGTGGGGCATGTGCGGAGGGAGCTCTGGAGGAGATCTGGGCAGCGGGGAGGCCCTGAGAGTCAACACAGCAATGAGGGTGTCAGGCAGCCCCACACCAGGGACCCTGGCCTCTCCCCAGGATCCAGGACAGCACCGGGGTCCAGGCCCAGCCCTGCACTTCCCCCACCCCCGCCGAGGGCACTGAGGGCACAGAGCAGCAGTGGTGTCTCTGCACTCCTCCCCCACCCCGTGACCACGGGCTCCCACCACTGAGCCAGCCCTGGCTGGGGGACCTCAAGCCACCCCCAACCAAATCAGCCCCATCGGAAATCAACAACGCTGACCCCAGTCTGCGTGTTGCCTGTTCTGAACTTGCATCTCTGTCCTGTAAAATTCTGGGGATTATTATGGGTTACTTTCTAAAGCTGGGGTTGATGACCTGTAAGACAGATGCCGTCCCTCCTGCTGAAGCCGAGGGCCCTGCCAGCTTTGTGCAAGCCCCGCCCACAGGCAGCAGGGCGCCGTGGGCTGGTCCTCAGGAAGCATGCCTGGGCCGGCTCACACCTCTGCCCTGCTGAGCACCAAGGAGAGTGCTGACTTCTGGGACCAGCAAAATTTCTGCAGCGCGTTCCCATCCAGCTCTCCCTGTAAAGGCGTGGGGTTCATCTCGCACTCACGCAGACGGTGGCTGTGGTCCTGAAGCTCATCACGGTGCTTTGTAGCCCTCTGCGTGCTGGAAGAGCTGTCGGCTGACCAGGTTTACAGCATCCCATGTTGGGCGTTTAAAGCATCCCATGTTTCGTGCTGCCTCAGCCTCTGCCGCTGAGCTGAACCCTGCGGCCAGGGCAGCTTTCTCCAGCAGAGAACACGCGACCCTGCTGGCTGGGGCGTCTCCAGGTGGCGGCGACAGGAGGCTGTTTTCCTGGAGGTTGGTGGCTCCCTAGGACCCCGGCCCACTGGCTGGGATGGCCAGCACCCGGGGGCTGCCTGCTGCCTGAGACAGGCTTGGGAGCTGAGTCCGGCTCACACAGGACAGCGTCAGAAGATGAGCTGCCCCTGACGCCCAAGGTCACGCTCTGGCCTGGAGGCTGTGGTCAGAACTGAGCGGGGTGTGAGACAGAGCTGGCGTTCAAGACACAAAACCAAGGTTTCTAAACTAAAACAATCCTCGTAAAGCAGAGATGGGAGTTCTCTTTGTGAAAAAAGGAGATCTATTGTCCAGACACACAGGGAGGGGCTGCTGAGCCAGTGGAGACGCCCGCACAGGAGGCCTCAAGACGCAGAGGGCAGTGCCAGTGGGCGTGGCACCAGGGGCCACGAGGAATGAGGCCGCACCCTCCTCCCGGGCCTGCTGTGCGCAGAATTCAGATTCAGGCACACGTTGTTTTTACTTGACAGCCAACGGTGTGCTGGGCAAGATGTGAGCGTTGAGAAAAAGGAGAAGCTGTAGATGCCGGTAGATGGAAGAGAGTTAGCCAGAGAAAGTCAGCGTCGCCCAGGAGATGGGATTGGGAAGCCCTAGGTCTTTCCGGCCCTGGCCCGGCTCTTCACCTTCTCCTGGGCGACAGCCACGGCTCTGGCTGTCACACACTGATTCTGCACACTTACAAAATGTGTGGGCTGGGCGGGGTTTCCCTTTGTCTTTCGGCGCTTAGAATTACGCCCAAGCTCCCTGCAGGACTCCCTGATCGATGCCCTCCAAACACTCCCTGCAGCTGAGAGTGAAGGCGCCCCTAGAGTAACTCAGGGTTCTGCCACACCGGAGCCTTCTGCCGGCCTCTCAGTGCAGCCCCTGCTGATGACACGTGGCATTCACCTCCTTTCTGTGGTCTGGGTGCTGGCTGTTTAAGGACAGGAGCTGGGGACTGACAGTATTGGAAACGGTAGCTCACCCAAGGTGCTGAGCACACCAAGTGCCGGCGAGGTTTCAGCCCACAGACACCGTGGCCCCAATGCCACCTGGACAGTGCCAGGCACAGGCGGAGGGGCTGTCAGCTGCTGGGACAGGGGGGTGGGCCGTGGCCTTGGCTGTGTGTAAGCCCAGCTCAGGGCGGCCTGCAGTGGAGTGCCCACGTCTCACCACTTTGACCTTGCGCCCCAAGGGCAGGCTCCTTCTGCTGTGGGACTTTCTCTTTAGTTCAGCTAAACATGGGGTCCCTGTCCACGACCACGAAAACCTAGGCTCCCGGACACGTTGAAGGGTGAGAAGGGCAGGGTTGACTGGGTGAAAAGGAAAAAGGGGAAGCGTCATCTCCGCAAAGCCAGAGTCTTGCTGGTTCGCTTCCCGCCTCGCAGATTGAGTCCCAGGCTCTGCCCCGGATCCAGAGAGGCCAGGCTCCTCCCACTGCAAAGGGCATGAAATTCTGTGGCTCCCACTGTTCTCCCAGTGTGCAGACTGGTGGAGTTGCTCTGCGGACCCCTTTGTGCTTGGCTGTCTTACTTCCTGCTAGAGCACAAGCGCACCACTCCCCAAAAGGAAAACTTGGGGCCCGCCACGATCCTCCAGGCTAGACCAGTTCAGCGGAGGACGTGGTTGGTAAGAGCCAGGCGGCTTCACTCCACACCACCTGGAGCTGTGTCGCCAGCTGAGGAAGGCTTGGGGTCTCCAAGACGCCCCCCTGGTTGCCCAGAGCCATGCAGGTGACTGCGGCCGAGGCGGGGAGGCGGCAACAGACGATCAAGCTTATGCACCCACAGACCGCCAGCTGCTCTGAACAAATCTCGGCTCAGTCACTAAGATGTGTTGGAATCCATCTTGACCCCTCTGTGTTTTTAGCTTCCTTTTATGGTTCCTTCTAGAACAAAGCCTTTCAAAGTCATGAGGGAGGGACTTACTTCCTAGTAAGTCTTCCTGGTATTTGGGGGCCTGGTGATCAGGTCCGCTTCCCCTCTTCTGTTAAACGTGTGGTTCTGTAGTAGATCCCTCCATCAAGGAAGCTCATAGTTGCGATCTTTCTAGACTGAAAGACCCCGACTCTGGCTGCGATGTGGACTATGGCGGCCGCACCTGTGTCTCCATCTCAAGTCTGTTAGGAATTAGAGCCCTATTGAGCTGCGTTCTGAAGCCTTCGGCACTTTCTTCATATAATCCAACGCAGATAAATGTACAGGAACACAAGCACCACTGCCGAGCTTCGCCGAACACTTCCACGAATCCGGCCCGGCATCGGGAGCTTTGGGGGTTCTGAGCAAGGGCATGGACCGTGCGGCCAGCACCCCGGGCCCGCACCAGGAACTCAGTGGCCACCGTCCCCGCCGAAGGCCCAGGCGTGCCTGCACCTCGGCAGGTGGTCAGGCCCCTCCCTTCACTCTGCTTTTCTTCTGCTTCCTTTGTACCTCTCTAAGTCCCCAACCAAGTCCCCAAGGTATTGATGGCATGATAAGATACATCGTGAATATTTATTATAAATTTAGACTGGCTTGTTGGGCACGGTGGCTCACGCCTGTAATCCCAGCAATTTGGGAGGCTGAGATGGGTGGATCACCTGAGGTCAGGAGTTTGAGGCCAGCCTAGCCAACATGGTGAAACCCTGTTTCTGCTAATAAAAATTAGCCGTGCGTGGTGGCGGACACCTGTAATCTGAGCTACTCAGGAGGCCGAGGCAGGAGAATCGCTTGAACCCGGGAGGTGGAGGTTGCAGTGAGCCGAGATCACACCACTGCACTCCAGCCTGGGCAACAAGAGGGAAACTCCATCTGAAAAACAGGGAAAAAAAAAAAAAACCAAAAGACTGGCTACTGGCTGGGTGTACGCTTGTAATCCCAACAGTTAGGGAGGCCAAGGCGGGAGGATCGCTGGAGCCCAGGAGTTTGAGACCACGCTGCGTAACCTAGTAAGATCCTGTCTCAACAGAAAGCCAAAAAGTAGCCAGGTGTGGTGGCGCACGCTCTAGCCCGGCTATGTGGGGAGGTGAGGCCCGAGGATCGCTGGAGCAGGAGGCGGAAGCTGCGGTGACCCGTGATCACATCAGTGTACTCCAGCCCTGGCGATGGAGCAGGACTCTGTCTTTAAAAAGCAGGAAAAGGGGAACAGGCGCTGGCTCCTGGATCCACGCTTGTGTGTTTCTTTTGACAGGCATCACGAGATTGGACGACCAGATATTTCTGAACAGGAACCCCGGCGTTCCCTCCGTGGTGAAATTCCACCCCTTCACCCCGTGCATCGCCGTAGCCGACAAGGACAGCATCTGGTATGCACCGCGCTCGTGGGGCCCTACTTCCAGCTGACTAACAGCCCCAGTGACGCCCCATTCACCCCCCAGCACCGCTCCTCTTCCTTGAAAAGTAGATCAAGGCACTCACCCGGGGCCCTTAGCGCCATTTCCCAAGAAATACCCCGCTCACCTTCTCCTCGATGACGGAGCCGCACACACACTCACGCCATGCCTGGCTTTGTCCTTGTCACTGAAGGACAGTCCAGAGTCCTGCCTGCAGGTCACAGGGGAGTGGCAGGGGCTCCCCGATCACACTTGTAATAGAGGCGCACCCAGGGGCCCTGGCTTGCTGCCCTGTCTGCAGAAGCAAGTGTGTGACAGAGAAGCAGTCATAAGTGACACCAGGTGCCCCGAGAGAAGCGGGTTTAGTTCTCAGCCAGTGTCACCCTTACGTAGTGGAGATAGTGCCCGCCTCATGGGGGAGGTTCTTTTTAATAGCTCATGAAATCCCCATGGTTCGTACCTCTGTTTGTTTTTCCTCTTTTTACAAACTGTGGTAAAACATACATCGCATACAATTTGCTATTTTAACCGTCAAGTGTGCAGCCAGTGGCGTTCAGCGCATTCACACTGGTCTCCGGAACCTTCTCATCACACAAACCGAAGCGTGGTCCCATCAGGCCCCAGCTCCTCCACATGCCCCCGACCCAGCGTTCTACTTGCCCTCTCTCTGAAGTGGCCCCCGCTAGGAGCCTCATACCAGTGGAGTCCCTGGGGGTGTGGCCCCTTTTGCCTGCCTTATTGGACTCAGCGAACTGTCTTCAAGTTTCTCCCAAGCTATAGCACATGGCAGAATTTCCTTTTCACGGCTGAGTAGTATTCCACCGTGTGGATGGCCCACGCTACGTCTGTCCGCTCACCTGTTCATGGACACCAGGGTCGCTTCCACCTTTTGGCTATTGTGAATAGCACTGCTGTGAACATTGGTGTACAAGTGTCTGTTCAAGTTCCTGCTTTCAGTTTTTTGGGGATGTGCCCAGAGCAGAATTGCTGGACCATCTGACAATGCTCTGTTTAATTTTCAGAGGAGCCGCCAGGCTGTGTTCACAGGGCTGCACCCTCTTCCCTTCCCACGGGAGAGCGCGTGGGCGCCCGTTTCCCACATCCTTGCCAGCACCGTTACTCTGTGTTTGGACACAGGGTCTCACTTTGTTGTCCGGGCTGGTCGTGAGCTCCCAGGTTCCGACAGTTCCCCTGCCTCCGCCTCCCGAGTGGCTGGGACGGCAGGTGCGGGCCCGTGCACGGCTGCGGGGTGCGGTTTTACAGCCGCCGTCGCCCCGGGTCGCAGGCAGCACCTCACCGTCATTTGCTTTGCAGTCTCCTAATGACTTTTCTCATTCCTCTTATTCCCTGAAGCTTTTGGGACTGGGAGAAAGGGGAGAAGCTGGATTATTTCCACAATGGGAACCCTCGGTACACAAGGGTCACTGCCATGGAATATCTGAATGGCCAGGACTGCTCGCTTCTGCTGACGGCCACAGGTGAGCGGGGTTTGCGCAGCCGGGATAGGAGCCCAGAGTCGGGGGGAGTGGCGGGGGGAGGACGCACCATCCCGAGACGCGTTTGCACGTCTGTCTTACAGAGAGCGCTGCTCATACGTGAGGGCCACTGTCATCCAGAAGGGGGTGGCTTATGGGGGGAAGGCCTTCAACAGCAGAGGCAGGAAAGCAAAGATGACCCCATCCTTCGGGTTATAGGGACCTGTCTTTTCATCTCGGTCCTCTGGCCCTTCCAGCACCAGGAAGAGCCTGTGTCCTTAAACCCTGTGGGAGACCGGGTGGGTCCCATGTGACACCCAAGAACCAGGGAGGGTTGTCCCAAGCCCCGACGCATGCCGGGTCCTCCCCAGCCAGGGTCTCCTGGCGTCGCCGGCTCGTTCGCCAGTGGCTATGCCCACCAGGCTCTGGCACCCACCTCCCCAGGTCCCATCCTGCTTCCGAAAGGATGTCCTTCACTGTCATGGTCGCTGAGCAGTGGTTCATTGGCATCATGGGTCTCACTCTGGTTTTGGTTTTCTTGGGGATTTGGGTGGTTTTTTGTAGGGTTTTTTTGGAGGGGGTCGAAATGTCTTAGTTTTGGGGGGTTTGGGGGGTTTTGGGTGATCTTTTGGGAGGGGGTTGAAATGTCTTAGTTTCAGGGGGTTGGGGGGTTTTGGGGGATCTTTTGGGAGGGAGTTGAAATGTCTTAGTTTCAGGGGGTTGGGGGGTTTTGGGGGGTCTTTTGAGCGGGGGATTGAAATGTCTTAGTTTCACCCTCAGCTTGGAACAGTTGTTTCCACATCAGCTCCCCCTCGTTGACAGCCATTCTCCTTTAGCACTTTGAAAACCTGCTTCCATTGCCTCTCGCGGATGAGAAGTCACTGTCAGTCAAGGTGCACTTCCTGTAGAGATTAGAGAGCACTGGGCCAGGAGGTGGGTGGAGAGGAGGGCACAGGTGAGGGCAGCGAAGGCAGACGCCCGGATCCCACGCGGCGTGTCCCTGTCGGCCCCAGCCCCGGGGCTCCTGAGCCTCTACGAGTGTCGAGTTGAGGCACTCAACGGTGCAGCCCTCTCAGCGCCGTTGCTCCTGGTGAGGGGCGTAGCCGTGGGGACTTGTCCTGGTGCAGCCCCTCCTCCAACCAGTGCCGCCTCGGGACCAGGTAGCATCAACCCTTGTCGAAAGCCCATCCTCCTCCCGGTAGCTGTCAGACGTGACCAGGAGGAGATGCACAGCAGCAGGGGCAAGGACCAGCCAGGCCCAGCCCAGGTTTCAGAGAGGCCAGCTGTGGGCATCTCCGAGCACCAGACGGGGAGGGCAGGTCCTTGGCTGAGAGAGCGAGCGCTGGAGAGGGCCCAGGGTCATTTACAGAGCAGGCTCCAGGCAGCAGTGGAAGGGCTCCAGCTCCAGACCCAGGAACGTTCAGTCTGCGGGATGGAGAGCGGGAAAGGCAGGCAGGTGGAGGAGAGGCCATTGGCCATGAGGGCAAGCAGCTGGGGCTTGAGGGCACCTGGGGGCCACGCAGGAGGGGCTGGCGAGGCCGGGGGCGGGGTTCCCAGAAGGCTCAGAGGACCTGCATGCTTGCCCCACACTGGGCCGACCGCCCCGCCGTCTGCTGGAGGACACAGAGGACCATTTACCCCATTCAAAGCCCCTAAGAGCACGGCGGTGTGTCCCTGCCCACGTCTTAGGCAGAGTCCAGACATCTATGTTGTCCCTTCAGGTCAAGGCTACTTTCTCTTTGGAGCACAGTTAGGAATGGGGAGGAGGGAATGAGGGCCCCGTGTGTGTCCTCTGTGAAGCTGACCTTTCATTCTGCTCCCTGGCACAGGCTGGCTCACCAGAGGGTAAAATGCAGCCCCGCCCACCCAACCGGGCTTCACCCACCTGCTTCCCCTCCAGGAAACCCCATGGCCCTGAGCTGGAGGGAGGAAGGGGCAGCCTCAGGTCCCAGAGCAGTCAAACCTCACTCAGAGTTGAGCTCTGTGGCCAGGGTGGGACAGGGTTGTGGTCTCCCATCCCCCCGGGCCACGGCTCCTCCCGCTGGCTCGCCCAGATGTGGATCTCAGGGCAGAGTCAAGTCGGCGGGCACTCAGAGATCTGGAACCATGGTGGCAAGTCAGGCTGCCCACCCAGGTCACTGCAGCAGTCCGCCGGGCAGGGCTCTTACTGCCACACAGAGCACAGGCCAGGCCAGCCAGGGCCGGTTCACCTCCTTCCCTCTCTCCCTCCCCAGATGATGGTGCCATCAGGGTCTGGAAGAATTTTGCTGATTTGGAAAAGAACCCGGAGATGGTGACCGCGTGGCAGGGGCTCTCCGACATGCTGCCTACGACACGAGGTGGGTCCGGCCAGCTCCTCCCGCAGCAGAAGGCTCTCCCGAGCCTGCGGGCACGCTCCAATTCCACAGCCCCTCCGGGGCTGTCTCTACACAGGCTGCTCCCTCTCAGAGTCCCCGAAATCCCAAAGCAGCAGCCCCCCACCGACGTCCCCGGAAGCACGTGAGCCCCAGGCCCCTGAGTGCACTGCCTGGCCGGAGTCCCAGCGCTGGGCATGGTCAGCCACCCACAGGTGCCCGGTCCCCGACCTTCAGCCTGGGCTTGCAGACCTGCTGCTTGGGACGGCATCACTGCTGGCAGGGCCTGAGGGGCCCACGTCACGCGCTCTCTGGCCCCAAATGTAACTCCTCCTTGGGGGTGGGTGCACATGGCCACCTGGGGCCTTGTGTGCTTGCCGGCCTGCCCAGGCTGGTGGAACAGAGTGGCTGCAGCGCCGTCTCTGCGCACAGCTCTGCATGTTGCCTGTGCCACTGCACAGCCTGGGCGAGGGGCGGGGCATAGGCCCACAGGTCCTTCTGGAAGGACTCAGGCAGGAGTTAGGAGGCTCAAGGGGTCTGGATTTCCAGAAGCCCCTCGGCAGCGCCAGACATTCGCCTCCGGGAGTTATTGCCCTTCAGCGAATCCTGCAGCCCTCGGCGATGCTAAGAGTGAACGCGTGCCTCCTCTGCCCCCACTACCCCCCATGGCCGGCCCCGTCTGCCAGTGTGTGATTTATCTGTCATCTGTGGCCTGTGGATGTGGCCTTACACATCGTGGTCGGCTGTCTGTGTGGGGCCTGCGCTGGCTCTGCCCCTCTGTCCGAGCACCTGTCCCAGGAGATGCAGCCCTCACATGCCTCAGGGGCCTCATGGGGGCAGCTCCAGGGTGGACATTCCTCAAATGCTGGATGTTTTTTAAACGTAGCCACGTTCTTAAGTTTCATCGAGCGAAGAACGTCACACCCGGTGCTCCACAGGGGCCCCTTTCCTGTTGCCTCTGTCCCGATCTCCAGGCTCTGCTTGCCCCATGGGGCGACGCTCATCTGGGGTGTGGCAGTTTCCCTGGGACAGGGCAGGAGAGGTGAGCCCCAGCCAGGGGCCCTGGTCCAGGAGGGGCCCAGGAGACAGCTGGGTGGCCAGCCTGGGGGGTGAGGCCACTCGCCGGCCATCGTGTGCATCTCCGAAAGACCAGTTTTGGTGACACTGTGTCCTTTGCGAGAGAGGAAAGATCAGTGATCGACAGCCTTTCCAGGCTGTTTTCCAGGCGTCGCTCAGAGGCGGTGGTGCCGTGGGATGAGCTGGGCTTCAGCATGGGAGCACCGGGCTGAGTCCTGGCTCTGCCTTGCTCTTTCTCTCATTTGCTTTTGTGAGAATTTTCCACCCAGTCCAAGGCTTGGACCTGCCGGAAACGCAGTGCTAAAAAGACACACCTGTGGCTGGCGCCGGGGTCCCTGGGACCCCCCGGAAGCATCCACACGTCCATGCCCAGGCCACGCTGCGGGAGACAAGACCTTTTGCCTATGCCGCCCTGTGGGCTGTGGGTCTCTCTGGCTCAGGACGGCGGGGCCCGGCTCACGCATCAGGAAACAGCGCCAAGGAGGGACGTGGCCTTCTTGGCCCAGACGTCCCAGTGCTTCCTTCAGAGCAGGCGTCTGTGCTGCGCTTCAGGGGTCTTGGGGACGGAGAACGAGGCTCTTACCTCGGGGGAAGGCAGCAGAGGAGTCTCGCTGGGCGTGAGAGCTCCAGGCCCGGAAGGTTGTGTCAGCTGTGGGCTGGGCCACCAGGCACAACCCTGGAGGTTGTGCCTCCAGGCAGGATGGCATTGGGCGCTGGTGGCACAGGACATGGGAAACCTGGGCGTGGGCAGCAGGCAGGTGTGTCACTGCTGCTGCAGCTTTGCTATGTGTCCAGGACTGGTTCAAACCAGTTCCCTTGGTGTCACAGAATCTGAACTATAAAGGGACCTGGGGATCACCTGACTACACCCCTCAACGCCAGAGGCCCAGGGTCAGGCTGTGGCATGTCCCCCACACCGGCATGTCACTGCCTTACCCGGGTACCTCAGCCTGCGTGCTGGAGACAGGGCCTCTACACAGGTGATTAAGGTCAAACCAGGCTACCAGGGCGGCCTTAACCCAGTGTGCCAGTGTGCTTACAGAAGAGGCCTCCAGGACACAGACACGCATTCAGGGACGGGACGTGGATGGCGAGGGGTTCCTGGGGCGCTGGCTCAGCATCACCCAAGGAGGTCACTTACCCAAGGAGGTCACGGTGTCACAGGAGGGCCTGAGTCCTAGCAGGAGGGCCGGGCCATCCATCTCACTGGCCCAAGGGTAATTGTCATTGACTGGAATAATACTACATGAATCCAGAGCTGTGAATGCTGACCACAGCGTGACCACTACCCTTCCTGAGAGGTCACAGTCACCGGGACCCAGTGTTGGCTTTTGATAGATTAACAGTCTGAGCGGTTGGCTAACCTCCACGACGTTACATCTGAGGGAATAACTGACTCACATGAATGGCCAAGGACCACACAGAAATGGCATGCTCCGTCTTCATGGGGTACTCCCTGAGGACCCACCAAGCATCTGACCTGGTCACCGCGGGGATCCGCGGAGCTGCAGAGGTTTCACCTTGCCCGGGAACCGAGGGGCTCGGACCCTCTGCCGGCTTCTGCTGCAGGGAGCCTGCCGGAGCCCCACGGCGCGACCTCCGCTCGCCCCAGCACCCGCTCGCCTCTCCTGGACTCCGTTCCCCAGTCGGGGTGCCCCCAGCTCAGGCACACACACTCCAGGCTCCTGCCTTGGCCTCCCAAAGTGCTGGGGTGACCGGCGTGAGCCACTGTGCCTGGCCTGCGCATATTCAAAGCTGTGCAGCCACCATCTTTACCTAGTTCAAAAGATCCTTGCCACCCCGGAAGGTGCCCGTTAAACCAGTTTCTTCCCATGGGTTCTTATTATTTATTTTTGAGACAGGTACTCGCCCTGTCACCCAGGCTGGAATGTGGTGGCACCATCACAGCTCGCTGCAGCCTCGACCTCTCAGGACTCGGGCGATACCCCAGCCTCAGCCTCCTGAGTAGCTGGGACCACGGGAAACATCTGCAGCTAAGCTATCTGTGCTTGTATATCCGCCGTCAGGTCTCAGAGTGGGGCCTCCTGGCACAGTCTCGGGGTGGTTGTGCCTCCAGGCAGGACGGCACTGGGCACTGGTAGAAGGAGCCACTCAAAGGGATGCAGCAGGAATCCCGGGCGGTGTCCTCGGTGACCCAGATGCCACTTCCCAAGAGCACGTCTGGGGTGGGCAGCAAGTGTCCTTCGTGATTAATTTAGGTAGCAGCATATCACAAGGGAGAGGGGAGCTCCCATTCTGTGTTTTCAGGCTCTGTCAGCTGCACGGCTGCAGCAGGAGCTGGGCTCTCCTGGGCAGAAACAGGGAAGCAGGTGCCCTCTGCCTGGTCATATGCTATCCCTCACTGTGGTCACAAGGCCTCTCACCAGCGGAGGAGGGCTGCAAGGTAAGAGCCTGGGACCCAACAGGGCCCCCTGCTTCTGACCTGCTGGGACGTTTCCCCTGCTGGGGTCAAGGGCATCGCCGTAGAGGGACTATTCTTTTTCCGTTTGTTGTGTTTGGTTTTGGTTTTGAGATGGGGTCTTGTTCTCACTGCAGCCTCAGCCACCTGGGCTCCAGCCATCATCCCCCCTCAGCCTCCCAAGTAGCTGGTACATGGCGCACACCACTACACCAACCACTCTTTTATTATTTGTAGAGACAAGGTCTCACTGTGTTGCCCAGGCTGGTCTCAAACTCCTGGACTCAAGCAGTCCTCCTGTCTCGGCCTCCCAAAGTGCTGGGATTGCAGGTATAAACACACCTGGCCTGGGACTGCATTTCAAAAATAAAGAATGTATGTATGCCAGCAATTAACAACCAGAAAATATAATTATAAAACATCACTGGCCGGGCATCACTGCTCGGCTCACACCTGTAATCCCAGCACTTTGGGAGGCTGAAGTGAATAGATCACCTGAGGTCAAGAGTTCAAGACCAGCTTGACCAACATGGTGAAACCCCATCTTTACTCAAAATACAAAAATTAGCTGGACATGGTGGCAGGTGCCTGGAATCCCAGTTACTTGGGGAGGCTGAGGCAGGAGGATCACTTGAACCCTGGAGGTGGAGGTTGCAGTGAGCCAAGATCACACCACTGTACTCCAGCCTGGGTGACAGAGCGAGACTCCGCCTCAAAAAAAAAAGGAAAAAGAAATCAAGGACAACAACAATAAAAACTTCAAGATGCCTGGGAATGAATCCAACAAATGCTCCTTCTTCACAGAGCAAAGCATAAACTCTAATCGAAGGCTATAAAAGGCACATGTGGTATTGATGGCACCATAGCCATGGATGAAAAGACTCATCATTGTGGAGATTGGCAGTTCTCAAATTAATCTGTGGATTTATTAATACACTTTGATTATATTCCCAGGAGAGATTTTTATGAAATGCAGAACAGCTGAGACAGTACTAAAGAGGCGCAGACGGCATTATGAAGCTGCAGTCACAGGGCAGCCAGGCCGGGAGGCACCAGGGCCCTCAGCACAGCAGTGAGCCCAGAAAGGCCCAACGTAGCGGGGTGCCTTTGCACTGAGGGAGGAGCCACGTTGCTAAATGGTGTTGGGACAGCTGGTGCCATATAGAGAAAAATGCAGTGATACCCCTACCTCACACCATGCACAAAACACATCACAGCGAGAGACCTAACCTATAAAAGCCTTTAGGAGAAAAAACAAGAGGAAATCTTCATAACAGTGAGGAGCAAAAAGACAGGTTGAACAGGAGACCGAGGGTAAAGATACATCGATAGGTTTGACTGCACACTTCTTCGTGACCACAAGAAAAACGTCACAGCTATAATGTAAGTGGCAGAATAAAAAAGGATATTTGCAGTATCTACGAGTTACAGAATATATATAAAAACACATGCAACTGTGCAAACACATCAGGTCAGTAAGGATTTGGGGACACTGCCTTGTGTGTGTCCTGCCAAGAGTATAGATGGTCACCCATTCAGGGAATGAAATGGCCTCCCCCAGGGAAATCGGAGGCGTGCAGGACGCGTGACCAGCAGTTCCGTTTCTAGGCGCTTCCTTCTCCGCCCACAAGGACACGTGAAGGTGTTGACTGTGACATGGTTTACAAAGCAGGGACAGCTCAAACGGTGGGGTTGTGTAATCGAAGATAACACGAGATCAAGTGAGTTAACCAGAGCTGTGTGTCTCGGGTCGGATAAATCCTCAAAGCCTAACATTAAAGAAGCAAGCTGTGGCCAACATCTGTAATCCCAGCACTTTGGGAGGCCGAGGCAACTGGATCACCTGAGGCCAGGAGTTCGAGACCAGCCTGGCCAACCTGGTGAAACCGCATCTACTAAAATACGAAAATTAGTTGGGCTTGGTGATGGGCACCTGTAACCTCAGTTACTTGGGAGGCTGAGGCAGGAGAATCACTTGAACCTGGATGGCAGAGGTTGCAGTGAGCCGAGATTGTACCACTGCACTCCAGCCTCGGCGACAGAGCGTGACTCCATTTCGAATAAAAAAAAGAACCAAGTCACTAGAAAACAGGCCCCATTTTGACACTGAAGCACGTTTTTGAACGTGGAAGGCTGCGGTGTTGACGGGCATGCTCAAGCAGGAGGACCTCAGCGGCCCTGGGAGGTGCCCTCAGCCCGAGGGACAGCTCTCCGGGCAGGGGCAGGACGTGCTGTTAGTGTGTCTAAAATTATGCTTCTCTAAGAAAAAAACAAAAGGGCAAACAGTGGTAAAATGTTAGCAGCATTGGAGCTGAGTGGCGGGTACAGGGATTACGGTGGTGTTCTTTTCTGTGTGCTTAAAATATTCATTATTACACTTTTAGAAGTGAATCTGCTTTCAAGTAGAGGCTGTCGTGTGAGGTGGGGGTTGCTCTGCTCTGTCTAATCCCAGCACAAAGAACAGCCCTTGCCTGCTCTCTCCATCCATCCCTTGCTGACGCTGACCATCCGGAGTCAGCCCCTTGCTCTCCGGAGGGTGCCAGCCCCTGGCTCATGCCAAGCTCCTGTTGGTCTCAGAACTGGTTTCCTCCAGCTTTGACAGGGCCAAGCTGAGGACCCTCATCTTCAAGCACTGGCAGCCTTCCTAATGTCACCCAGACCTGCCCGTTCTGCCCAGGGTCCGGACGGTGGGCATCTGGACAGGCATTCTGGGAATGCCCTGTTCCCTCTGGCAGATGACTGGGGTGGAGTTGAGTCAGGGGGAGGCTCAGAGTTCCAGCTCAGAATTTGGCCCCATCTGAACGTGGGACACACCAGGAGCCCCCGTGGGAGCTCATAGGGATGTGGGCCCACCAGATGGGCTTGTTGGTGGCAGGTGTTCCTTGGAGCCTCTGGCCAAGTGGCTGCCCATGGCAGGGCCCCCAAGCCTGCCCAAGGTGAGGCCCACGGGGTGACCCATGTCCCACTGTGTCTCTCCAGGAGCCGGGATGGTGGTGGACTGGGAGCAGGAGACTGGCCTCCTTATGAGCTCGGGGGATGTGCGGATTGTCCGGATCTGGGACACAGACCGGGAGATGAAGGTGCAGGTAACCATGTGGGTCCCCCCGAGCCGCGGGCCTATGGTGCAGCGTGTGCACGGCTGGTCCTCGCCACAGAGCCCAGCACAGTGTGCGGTGAAGCCCGGCCATCCTAGGGGTGGAGGCGGGGCCTGGAAGGACAGTGCTTCAATGCTGGGAGGGGACGTGGGCGCCCTGAGGCCCCGGGTGCAGGTGAACCGACACTCAGCCTGCGCTGCCGTGCGGCTCAGCCTGTGACCGCTCTGAGTGTTTTCAAATAGCGTCTTATCTGCAAATCAGGGACCATCAGAAATTGGTAGGGTGAGAAATTGTAAATTAGAATGACTATTTGTGGGTTTTCTGGTTTTTGGTTTTTGATTTTTTTTGAGTTGGGGTCTCATTCTGTCACCGTGTGTCACCCAGGCTAGAGTGCAGTGGTGCAGTCACAGCTCATTGCGGCCTCAACCACCTGGCCCAAATGATCCTCCCACCTCAGCCTCCCAAGTAGCTGGGACTAATTTTTTTAACTTTTTGTGGAGACGTGGATCTCAGTATCTGCCCAGACTGGTCTCAAACTCCTTGCCTCCAGCAGTCCTCCTGCCTTGGACTCCCAAAGCACTGGGATTACAGGCATGAGCCACTGCACCCAGCCTCTGCGCTGCTTAAAGCATCTGTTTTCAGTTTTGGCAAAAAGGAGTACACTGGTTTTGCCTGAGACAGCCTGGAAGCGCGACAGAGGCCCCGAAGATGCACCCAGCAGAAAAGATACCCAACTACCTCGATTTTGTTCGGAGCAGAGTGAGGCAGCAGATTCTATGAGGGCAGCACCTGAGGTGGCTTTAGGCCCAGGCTTTCCTTCCCCTGGGTCCTCAGGGAGAGGTGTGGAGCAGAGGCCCTCCCCAGCCTCTCTCCTGGGCTGTTTGGTGTCAGGAGGGACCGAGGGCGGTGTGGAGCAGGCCCAGCAGAGGGGAGGCCTGGGCACCCTCACTCAGCTGCTCGAAGCCACCATGGTTGCTCTGGGCAGCCGCAGCCTGAGAACCCGGCCCAGGCTCGTCCCCAGGGGCAGCCTCCCTTCTAACCTGACCAGCAGCCGTAGTGACACCTCCTTTGGTGGGTCCTGCACCTGTCTGGAGCCAGGGCCCTCAGGGCACAGTGGGGACACCGTGACCCCAGGGTCTGGTCACCAGTTGGGGTTGAGACTCTGGTGCCCGTCCTCATGGGACCCTGCGGCCTGCGGTGACGGTGCTCTCCTGCAGAAGTGCGTGGAGGCGCTGAGCCGCACCCATGCCTGCACCCAGGTGTCCTCGGAGTGCGCGACCCAGCACCACCCACTGTGCGTGGAAAGTGCTCTCCCTCTCATGGCCCCTCCCGGGTGCCATCGCCCCGGCCCACTTCTCCAGCACTTACAGCCCCAAGGGAGCCAGACGACCCTCCTGAACTCGACCCGAAGCTCATTAGAAGTTCTGAGAGGCCACTAGCGAGGAGTCCTTGCCAAAATGTGCTTCCCTTTCATTTTTAGGAGACAGAGAGAGGTTGGAAGTTTAATTGGCACTGACAGCCAGTCTCCCAGAGGCGTTTGCAGGCCGCCGCTTGGGGTGGGACTGTGCTCTGCCTGGCTGGCTGGCCCAGATGCCTCCAGCTGTCCCTCGAGGGCCCAGGGAAAGGGAGTGACTAGTGCCCTGCCAGCCCCTGCTTCTCCCTGTGACTCCCAGGCACCGCCTTCAATGCTCCCCTGGATAGAGAGAAGGCCCCTGCAGCCAGGGAGGGAATCCCCACAGCAGCATCAAGCGGGGTCCCAGCGCTGCAGGACAGCAGGAAGGGCAGCTTGGTGCCTCTGGCTTCACCAGGCTCTCTTGTCTGGCCCTAGGACATCCCCACGGGCGCAGACAGCTGCGTGACAAGTCTGTCCTGCGATTCGCACCGCTCACTCATCGTGGCTGGCCTGGGTGACGGCTCCATCCGCGTCTACGACAGAAGGATGGCACTCAGCGAATGGTACCTTGGCCCCGTGTTCTCCCTCCCCCGTGGCTGGCAGGGTACCTTCTAGGTAGTAGAGGCCACTTGGCTGCTGGGTCCAGGTTTCTCAGTGAGATGTAAAGCTTCCCTGGGAGCCCACGATAGAGCATTTAGGCCAGTCATGCTGGCTCCCCAAGGCCGCCAGGCCCATGCCACGGAGGCCTGTCCCACAGAGGCCCATGCCACAGAGGCCCATGCCACAGAGGGCCGTCCCACAGAGGCCCGTCCCACAGAGGCCTGTCCCACAGAGGGCCGTCCCACAGAGGCCCATCCCACAGAGGCCCATGCCACAGAGGCCCGTCTCACAGAGGCCCGTCCCACAGACGCCTGTCCCACAGAGGCCCATGCCACAGAGGGCCATCCCACAGAGGCCCATGCCACGGAGGCCCATCCTACAGAGGCCCATCCCACAGAGGCCTGTCCCACTGCCTGCCACCTCCCAGGCCACGGAACAAACGTCCAGGGAGGAGTGTCTGAGGGCACACACATGCGCACAGCAGTCCCAGGCACTGCCTTTCTGCTGAGCACCCCCGTGGGCAGGCGCTGTTGCCGCCCCGGGTCTGGCAGAAAACTCATGGCCCACGCTGCTCGTGCAGGAGAAGTGAACTCCACCCAGCACAGAGCGAGTGTTCCAAGAAGGTCCCTGTGCCCCAGCTTCATCAGCTTTAGGTCTGGGATTCTCGTTCCTGACCTTCAGTCTACACAGATGGGGGAGACACAGGAGTTTTGGGGGAAGCAAAGCGGAGGGTGGGCAGGCGTGGGAGCACTGCGATGGCCACTGTCTCCGTGGCCTGATGGTGACCTAGGGCCCAGCCCTGAGCCAGCCCGGGGAAAACACAGGGGGTCTCTGCAGGAGCAGGTCGCCCGGAAGGGGCTGTGACCTCTGTGGGCCCTAGCCCTTCGGGGCGGACGGGAGGGAGGACGGGCAAGGGCCTGCGGACCCCATGGCACAGGCAGACCCGGGCAGCTCCCAGTGGGAGCCCTGCTTCCTGGACTCAGGGCAGTCAGCAAAACCTGTCCAGTTGTCCCCAGAGCCCTGGAGGGTGGGGACGTTGTCCGGGGCAGCCCCCCACTGAGCGTGCCCGCTTCCCTGCAGCCGCGTCATGACGTACCGGGAGCACACCGCCTGGGTGGTGAAGGCCTCCCTGCAAAAGCGTCCCGACGGCCACATCGTGAGTGTGAGGTAGGAGCCGCCACAGCTCGCAGCCGCTCTGCTGTGAAAACATCATTTCCTTCCATTTAAAATATATCCTTGGTATTTAAACAGCTGGAAGGGGATGGCATTTCGAGCAGTAATTAACTCCTGTTCTGGGACTGGCCAGAAAGGTCAGGCATGGCCCACAGGGGCCCAGGGGCCACGGCTGCTCCAAGCTGGGGGACACCTGGCCTGCAGCCACCTCCGGAACTTCCCTGGGCTGCTGACTGCAGAGGGTGCGGCGGGAGTTGGGCAGCTGCTCTCCCTCCACAGGCAGGGACGTCAGGGGTGGCGGGGCTGGCGGGGTGGCTGGGGCGGTGGGGCAGCAGGTGGCAGGGGGCAGCGCACCTCCCAGGCATGTGGCTGTAAATTTCAGTTCTGCTGCTCGGTAAATACAGCACCGAGAGCAGTGAATATTTATTTGCCTATTAAAGAGAGAACAAAACGTAATTTATGATCACAAAGCCGGCATTTCTTCAAAGAGATGCTCTTTTCCCCCTTGTTTGTGATATAAAAACCAAACATAACTCTTGGGATGGACGCCTGCCGGGGCTGGAGGGCAGGAGGCCACGGAGCCTCAGAAGGGCCGGGCCGTCGCTCAGGCCACGCACCTGCCATCCAGCCTCCGTCCCCGGAACAGCAGGCCCCGGTGGCATGCAATCTGCTCTCTGTAGCTCACAGCCTCCTCCTGCGTCTGTGCTCATGGCCGTTTCTCCAGGCCAGAGAGCTCCCGGCCTTTTCTAGCTCTGGGGGAGCAGGGTGGGCAGCCCTTACCAGGGGTGCTGAGAGTCCAGGCAGCTTGTTCCCCGAGCCGCATGTGTGCAAACAGGTGTGCAACCCCACACACCCAGGTTCACCGTCCCCCTGGCCAGGCCCCTCCTGGGGCTCCAGGAGGAGGTGTCACCGTGACCCTCTCTCGGCAGCGTGAACGGAGATGTACGCGTCTTTGATCCCCGGATGCCCGAGTCTGTGAACGTGCTTCAGATCGTGAAGGGGCTGACGGCCCTGGACATCCACCCCCAGGCAGACCTGATCGCGTGGTAGGCGCCGCCCACCTCCCGGCCTCCCCCTCACCCGCCTTGGTCCTCTGTGCAAACAGCAGGCGCTCGTGTTCCTGCCCCCACAGGGCCTGTTGAGGGAGGGCAGAGGCGATTTCACCACTGTCAGGAAATACAAACACAAGGCCTGTCCTTGCCATGTCCTCCCTCCCAGGACAGACTCCCAGGGCCCCGCCAGCCCCCAGTCCTCAGTGAGAGGGACCAGAAGGTACAGCCCCGAGCTGGCTGTACCCGCACTCTCTGTCTCTGGGTCTGTCTTCCACCCTCAAAGGAGCGGGCAGTGACGCCAACCCTTTCTGTCCCCGCAGTGGCTCCGTCAATCAGTTCACCGCCATCTACAACGGGAACGGAGAGCTAATCAATAACATCAAGTACTACGACGGCTTCATGGGCCAGCGGGTCGGCGCCATCAGCTGCCTGGCCTTCCACCCGCACTGGGTCAGCGCAGCGCGGGACAGGGCTGGGAGGCGAAGCATGAGGCGGCAGGGGTCCTGCCTTGGCTGCCTGAGGGCGAGGCTTCCCTGGGACCCAGGATCTCTAGGGCTTCCCCCCAGACGCAGAGCCCTAGTCCCATCACTCAGGAAGAGTTGACAGCACACGCACAGTGTCCGGCGTGGAGCTTGTGCCCTCAGCGCGTGCACTAAAGCCATCCCTGGGGAACCTCTAGGCAGTGCCCTCAGGGCACCGCCCCACCAGGGCCCTCACCTGCACGGTGCCCTGGCTGCAGCCTCCGCACGTGGCTTCAGGCTGTTGTGTTTATATCAGGATTCTGCCCACCCACCCTCTTGTGGTGCGAGGTTCCATGGGAGCCAGGCATGCAGCTCTGCCAACACGCGTGACATGAGATGCCCAGAGCTGGCCCTGGGGGGCGGTCCTGAAAAAAACATGCAGGACCCATGGGCAGCACCACACCCCTCACAGAGTGCCCCAGGCATGGGCCCTACAGAGGGTCACGGGGCACCACACCCCTCACAGAGTGCCCCAGGCATGGGCCCTGCAGAGGACTGGTGGGTTCCAGCCCAGCATTCCTGGGCCTGAGGTGGGCATGAGGGTTCCTGAGACCCGGCGGGAGCTGGCTAAGGGTGGGGTTGGGCTGCGCCTCCCCACAGCCTGTCCCTGAACCCCGACTCACCCCTCTGCTCTCTCCTCGCAGCCTCACCTGGCCGTGGGAAGCAACGACTACTACATTTCCGTGTACTCGGTGGAGAAGCGTGTCAGATAGCGGCGTGGCCCAGGCCCGCCAGGCCACGGCCGCCTGCTGTACATAGTGAAGCTGCCACTCGCCTGGGCACGGGGCATCGGCTGCCAAGGTCCCACAGCATGAACGTTGTGCTGCCTTAGCTGCTGGACGGCAGCAGGGCCCTGCCACTTGCTTTTGTCTGTCTTCGCTGTCGTGTCTGGACGTCAGGGAAGGGGAGGGTCGGGTTGACGGTGGCTCCCCACGGAGCGCCAGCATCCAGGTGTTCCCCAGAGCTGTGGCACCGCCGTCCCTCTCCTGCTCTGTGTTTCTCTGAGACGTTGAAAGGGGAAACACTTCATTTTATTTCCATGTGATCAGAGCATTCGCTGCAGAAAAACCCCCAGGCAGAGGGAGCCCCGGCGGAGAGGCAGGTGGGGGCCTCCTGCGGGTCCCTGGGCGACTGCCCCCATCAGGCCAAGAGCGAGTGAGAAGTGACACCCCAGCCAGGCCCGCCACCTCTCACGGTCAGTGCAGGCAAGCGGGGGACATTTCCTAGCCGGCTGGGGACACTGGAAATTAGGGAAATCAAGGCAGGAGGAGAAGGAGATGTCCCTCCAGCTGGCGGGTGTGAAGGAAGCTGCCCGGGGCCGGGAGTCCGGGCTGTCCTTGGCCACTGGCCACATCACTGAGCAGGAGGAGCGCTCCCCACCCCTCCCCTTCCCTCCCCTCCCCACCTCTCCCCACCCCACCCCACCCACCCCACCCCTCCCCTCCCCTCCAGCTCTCTCGACTCCAGTTTGGGCCCCTCACAAGGCAGGTCCTTGGCGATATAGCCCCTGCCTTAATCCACGGGCTGCTCTTCCTCGTGGGCGCAGGGACAGCGGCCGGGCCTGCAATCTCCATGCCTGTGCCCGCACACGGATAGTACACACATGTGCAGGCACCGTGGCCGGCATCTCGGGGCGTACACACAGGCAGCAGGGTCTGCCTGCTGTGCCCTCGCAGTCCATCACACACAGGCAAGAGGCACTGCCGGGCCCCAGACGGCTCTGGTGACACCAGTCCCGTCTCCAGCCCCCAGTTTTCCTTGCTGATGTGACATTGGCTCGCAGCCAGGTGGGTAGTGCGGGCGAGCCCCTTGGTCCTTGCCTCCCCATGTGTCAGGCTGTGGGGACAGTCCCGCCGGGAGGGGCCCCCGGGCACATGTGAGCAGTTACAAACAGAACACAGCCGAAATGATGGGGTTATTTTTCCATGTTCGTCGGGAATCAGGATCATTCAGAGGTAAAGGACCCAGGTGGCTTGATTCTGCCCACAACCATGGGAATGAGAGCTGGGCGGCGAGGCCCGGCTCCCTCACGCTGTGGCTGGCGTCCTGCTCTGGCGAAGAGCATCTTCCGGGTGGATGGCACCGTGCCTGGCCATGCTGGGCCAGAGAGACACCTGGGCCTTGGAGGCCTGAGCTGGGGCTGGCAGGGACAGAATGCAAGCTCCCACCAGAAGGCTCCGGCATGAATCCCATCTGCACGTCCAGGTCAAGTGAGCAGCCTGGGTCCGGAAGGTGTAGAGAGCCCCGACCCCACAAGTCCCGGCCTCACTCAGCTCACAGGCCATGCCAGGCGGCGGCACCAGAACCTTCCAGAAGCCCAGCTCCACCTGCACAGCTTCCGACCCAGTCCTTCAACTCGGTTCTTACCTAACATGTGTTTCTGTTTGTTTTGAGACAAAACCACCACCTGTCAAAGTGCAGGTGGCTCCAGAGGGGCAAGGCCCTCCCACCCCCGCTCCACCCCGGAGCCCACCCCCGGGCACTGCGTGCCACCTGCACGTGGCTGTCTTCACAGGTCTGATGCGAAAATTCAATCATGACGTAGCCAAGGCTCGAGAGCGCCCCGGCCTCACGGCTCATTATCTCTATTTATTTTACCAAATGCGAATTGAGAAAGACTTTGATGAAACCCGAAATTGAAATGTGAAGCTAAGAGCAGTGAGAAAAGTAAACTTCACACACGGACTCTGTGGCTGGCGGCTGTGTCTTTTAAGGAAACTGCCCACCCCGCCTCGGGGGCGTCGGCCTGAGCAGTGTTCTGGGGGGCATGTTGCCCGGGTCTCCCCTGCTGTCCCCAGGGCCCCCGGCAGCACTGCGTCCCGGGCGCTATCCAGGCAGCCACCACAGCCATGGGGGCCTGGCATGTCCAAGGGTGTGGGAAGGCCTCAGTCCTCGCCTCCCGGGCAGCAGTCCCTCCCAGGCAGTACCCGCAGTCCTGTGACGCAGACCCCACGTCGGGGAGCACGCTGTGTGGCAGCAGCCATCGGGCACATTTCTTTCTGTTTAAAATGACACAATTATCTCTCACAGTTAGAGGCCCCATTCAAGTCTCTGCATTGAAATCTGGGCCGTGTCAGACTTCTGGGGGAGAATCTGCTTCCCCGCCCCTCCCCGCTGCAGGCCCCCACAGCCCTTGGCTCGTGGCCCCTTCCTCCGCTTCAGAGCCTCTGAACCAGGTGCACGCCGCCACTTCTCTTTCTGATGCAGCCGGAAGTGTTTCTAGGCAGGGGCCGGGCCCACCTCGGACTGTGCCAGCCTCGGTCCTCATCCCATCCGCCCAGCCCTCTGGCCAATGCCATTTTTTTTTTTTTTTTTCTTTTTTGAGACAGAGTTTCACTCTTGTCACCCAGGCTGGAGTGCAGTGGCATGATCTTGGCTCACTGCAACCTCTGCCTCCTGGGCTTAAGTGATTCTCCTGCCTCAGCCTCCCAAGTAGCTGGGATTACAGGTGTGCACAGCCACACCCAGCTAATTTTTACATTTTTAGTAGAGATGGAGCTTCGCTGCGTTGGCCAGGCTGGTTTCGAGCTCCTGACCTCAGGTGATCCACCTGCCTTGGCGTCCCAGAGTGCTGGGATTACAGGCGTGAGCCACCGCACCTGTCTTACTCTGGCCAGTTCTTGAAAGGCTCTGATTTCTAGATGGAACTTTGCTCTGCAGGCCATGGCCTAACCCTGTGGCTTTTCCCACACAGGAGGGTCTGGCAGGGGTTGGGAGCTGGGGAGAATGCTCTGGAAGCCACAGCAGAGGCAACAGGCCTGGGCACGGCCCTGCAGGGTGACTGGGAGACGGGTCTGTGGGGATGGTCATGGGGCCGCCACCTCAGGGGCCTGACTTCCTGGAGAGCTTGGGAACAGGCTCTTGTCCCCCCAGCACCTCTTGCCTGCTGACCAGAATTGGGTCTCAGGCATTGAGCAACTTGCTCCAAGCACTACCTGTTGGGTGGCGGCAGGGACTGGGATCCTAACCCCACCCCAGGGCCACATGCGGAGACCTTTGCTCCATCGCTCAGGCGGGGGTGGGTCAGGGCTGAAGGAGTGTTAGGAACAGATGCTCAGGGCCACAGAGAAGACTCGGCACCAAGACAAAAGATGTCTCAGCAAAGCAATTTTTACTTTTTTACTTCCTGGACTGCAGGAAGGGTACCCTCACCAGCCATCCTGCCACGAGAGTACCACGCATAAAGGAAAAGCAGGCATATTTATCCTTCACCCATTCGGGGTCTTCACTGCTGTGTCTGATCTCCGTTGGCTGGAGCCAGACCTCACAATCTAAACTAAAACCCGATGGCTAACAACTTAAAACTTTTCTTAACAGGTGAAAGCAATGGAGAGCTGGGACATGCCTTTGAGCACGTCCAGCACAGATATCTTGGTTAAAGTACAAGGACATAGAATGTACTACGTGCCTGTAAGCACAGCGTGTCTAACAGCTACATAGGATACGGCTTCACAAAGTTATTAGCACACTTATGATTTATTCTTTAACTAGAAAGGAAAGTTTAAAGAGGAGCTTTTCTGCTTCCCAGAGAGAGCCACACACTCAGGACACACAGGTGGCCGTTGTGCACGCGGCGGGAGTGGCAGCTGGGGATTTGGATGCACCAGGGTGACGTGTGGAGCCACCAGCCCGCTGCGTATTCGGAGGGGGCACCTGCTACCCGCTGGACCCCCACCCACCACGGCCTCACTCCCAGGGCTCATGACTCCTCCGGGAAGTCCGCTTGCTGAGCACAGCACTGAATGCCCCGTCCAGGGCGTTCCTTGTGTTCATGTCATTCCCTGTCCCAGGAGAGGTGCTGGCGCCGCTTCAGCCTGGGTCCTGGGAGGAGCAGAGATCAGGAAAGGTCCTCTGGCAGCTCCTGACAAGGTCCTTGAAGGGTGGGCCATCGCGGGGATCAGCCAGGCTGGGGACAGCAGCAGCAGCTGCCGGGGAACAGGCAGGTGCACAGAGGCTGGGGGGATCATGGCCGGGGTGAGGGCGCAGCAGATAACTGAGGGCCAGGACTGGGGAACAGCCCAGGCCTCCAGACCCCTGTGCCCCCAGAATGACGAAGCCACTCTGTGCCCGAAGCTTCCTGTGGCTGCGGCCACCAGTCTCCACAAGCTGGCGGCTGAGAGCAGCAGACGCGTTCTCACCAAAGGCAGCTCAGACTCAGGCTCCCTGGGCTAAAATCAAGGTCTTGGCCGGGCCGCGCTCCCCTGGAAGGCCCCGGTCAGACCCCTTCCTCGCCCGTTCCAGCTCCAGCTCCCTCCTCTCTTCAGAGCAAATCCCTACCCCCTCACTGACTCTCCTGCCTCCCTCCTCCACTCTTTTTTTTTGAGACAGGGTCTCACTGTCACCCAGGCCGAGTGCAGGTGCCACTGCAGCCTTGACCTCCTGGGCTCCAGCAATCCCCACCTCCGCCTCCTGAGTAGCTGGGACCACGGTGTGCGCCACCACTCCCGGCTAATTTGTGTTGCTTTTTGGAGATGGGACTTGGTCTCACTATGTTCGCCAGGCTGGCTTCAAACTCTTGAATTCAGGGGATCCTGCTGCCTCGGCTTCCCAAAGCCCGGGGGTTGCAGGTGTGAGCCCTGTGCCTGCCCGTCCTCCACTTTTAAGGACCTTGTGATTACAGTGGCCCCCCGGGGTGCTCCAGCATCACCTCCCTAGTTTAAGGTCAGCTGATCCAACCTTCATTTCATCGGCAACCCGGATCCCCCAAGCCAGGTGGTCACAGGTTCCCATTAGGACGTAGACATGGCTGAGGACGCTAAGCTGCCAACTAACCCTGGTCCACGAGCCAAAGGCCCTCCCGCCAGGCAGAGCTCACAAACTCGGGGGTCTTGGGTAGACACGGGAGGGTGGGGAGGAGACGCTCA